AACCTTAGACCGAAGAGTCACCTAAAAAGGTGCCATTTTCCCCCTTTTATTTTTCATTTTTCTTTCAGAAAGTGCCCCTCCCCAATTTTAGAGAATCCTAAATCAACACGTTCCTCATCATTAACAAATCCTCAAAAAGTCTAGTGGTGGAACTGGTTGATGTGACACAATAAGTTATGGACTCAAATCTCGGCTGGCTGCTTCAGTTTTCATGCACAATTGCTGCATACATTTTATTCTCAAGATAACTTCCAATTCAATACATACATATCAGTTATGAATACACCTGAAGTATACATTTAATAAAACACAGTAGCAGTTCAAGACCATATCTGTTCATGCATTATTTTTTTCTTACAAAAATATAAGTATCTAATTTCTTTGCATCTCAATCAGCAATGGATCATGACATATCAACAATTCCCTACATCTCAGTGATAAATGAATTAGAGGTTGACAAAATTATAGGATATAAATATCAGACCTAATCTCACTTTTACAGGTATTTACAACTTGAATTTGAATAGCTGGGAGCCCAGAATGTGAGAGTGTAGCAAATGACCGATCCAGAACTCCATACTAACTCTTTACTGCTATCTGAGATTCCAGGGAGATATTATGCACTGAATAATACTACAAGCCCTGTAAATGGTGAAGATAAAAAAAGTTTGAACAATGAAGCACCCCCCCCCCCCTTGCATTTTACATGAGGGTCAATTTGCCTGAACCCCTACTTTGGAAGTTTGGATAACAGCTCCTAAACATAGGCACACCCTTTTTGTCATTTCAAGGTTTCATAGATATACAATTTATCTTGGATCTGTTACCCCCAAATGCCCCAAGTTTTTGTATTGTGGATTTTCTGTATCCTATATTTAGAATATCACTGTCCTTGAAAGTGACAACAAATGGCCTGAAAATACAACTACTTTGTTCATGAATTTATAGTCTTAACTAGAATTAAGAACTTTACTGTCCTCAAACTAAAAAGTGTTGCAGGATGGCATGAAAACATCATGCTTTTCTGTGGATTTTAGAACAGTAACATTTGGATGTTTTATGAACCTTGCAGGAGTGGCAGAACACAAATATCAAATTAGTCATAATTTTACAAAGAAAGTTGAGATGATTTGTCAGTATAGTGCAGTTCTATCAGACTTAAGAATTGGCTCATACTTCCTGCTAATTTTCTCAATTTTTCATAATACTAGCCTTGTCATACATGTATATCATAAGTGGACAAATCATATAACTTTCTCTGTCTATTAATGGTGAATTCAATGCAAACAATTTTTGTTTCCACTTTGAAAAAGCAAGCATGCAGTCATTACTTTTCTTTCTTCAAAGACATCATGCAGTATCAAAATTAAGTCAATGATAAACTAACAGATTCATAAGCATAAATAACGATTCACTTGTTTTTTCACAACATAAGTAGCTAAAGCAAAATTTTAGAAAATATCGTAAAAACAAAACTTATAGATCTATCTAATCACAACAAACATAAATAACATTGTAATATCTGATACAGATCTCTTACTTATAAACAACAGACAAAGTTCTATAATTTTATGATACAGTGATATGTACAAGGAAATTAGATTTCCTTCATAAATCAAACTCTTTTATGGAAAGCAACATTTAATATGACTTCTTACTTTAAAATTTGTACAGTAACACAGGCAGAGTACTAATGAACAAGATCTTTTTTTGGTTTACCTGCGAAAAAGCAAAGATTTTCATATCAATACACCTCATAGTGTACGCATTTATACAGAATATTTTGCTTACCCTTTAAGACAATGTAATCCACACATATAGAGATGTTTTGATTATTTCTAAGCATATACATTTATATTTTGTAATGACATTTCATTTATGCAACATTTTAGAAGAAACATTACATCCATAGCACCATGATATATCATTAACACAAAATGTATAAATGGAATACATTGTCGTTTCTTTGCTGGAATTTGGCAGATACGGGATATTTAATAATATTTAAAACTTGTTGGTGGAAAAATTGCATTGCCTTTTTCTTGAACACTGATCTTGGCCACATATAGTATTATATTATAACGAAAATCCTACGATATAATCTATGAGTTTCTTATCAGCAGTTCTCACAAAAACAAACAAGCAAAAAATTGCTAAATTTCAGGGCAAAAATATTGAACAATTTTGAATAGTTTCTCTTTATAATAACCTACATGTACTATGCATTTCAACACATAGCCATATCATAACAAAGAGAGGGGCTATAGCAGTTAATAATATTCTACTATGTAGGTACTCTTGTTCTAAAGTTGAATTTGAATGAATTAATTCTAAAATGCAAGAAAAAATAAGAAGTTTAAAATAAAGTGGTCTAAAATACCCGAGATGAAAATTGAAAGAAGGTTGTTACCCTAGCTATGCATAAGATACCCTTCTTACAAAAGTATTAGAAAATATTGTATACAAAATATAAAACTCCCACTTACCATTTTCAGATAAAGCAGTTAATCAAAAAGCCTTTAAATTTTTCATTTCTTTGAGGATCCTGGTAAAGTTTTTGGATTCTATACTGCACTACAGGCACATGAGATTTTAATAAATTAAAGCATCTATTCTGGTTTTAATGGAAAACCAATATGGAATACCTTGTCTCTATTAAAAAGAATTCGTCAGGGGTGGATTTTATTTATTAAAATGGCATGGATGAAGAGTGATTATTCGTTAAGCTTAGATGTAGATGCTTATCTTTGAAAATCCTTAATACAGACCTCGAGGTATGTGAGCTTTAAAGAGGAATAATGCCTGGATAATGGAAAACATTTGGTACTGCCCACATAGTAAATCTTAGAGCTAATTCCATAACAATACTCAGTATGAATATAATCATGAAAGCAATGCCAGCGTAGGTATATATTTTTTATGCCGTAGAGAGTAACAACCTTTCACAATATTAAGAGAAATTGGCAATATTCAATTTGTTTGTTCAGAAAAAGATGGTGGATTATTCCCAGGGCTTTACAGAGCTTTGTAATTCCCTTCATCCCAAACTGATGAAAAATTATTCCAGATGATGTAAAAATATGAATGCATTGATAAAATTGTTTCAAATCATACCAACTATTTGGAACATCAGAGATAGTCAAACTTCCCAGCATTTTTATGAAGTTCAAAGTAAAAGTATTTTAACCTTATAACTTACTGCTAATATAGACAATGCATTCAAACTAACTAATATGTTTTTTGGTCAAACTATTGGCTATAGTAGGATTTTTTCGTCTTCATTTGTATCTATGCTTTTCATGATAAATGCTATACTTTATGTGGAATATGTGTATATGTCAGAAAATGCTTGAATAAACCATCACATGTATTGCCTTTTATCTCTCTTAGGCAATTAATTACTCTTTAGAAATACTGATGGAAACATATATCTATAAGATACCCTTTACACACAAAATTTGATGATAGCAATTGAAATGGAGGTCGATACAGGAAGGAGAAAAGGGAAGAAAAAAGGAAGAAGGGAGATGAGGAGGAGGATGAGGAGGAGAAGGAGGAGGTGGAGAAAAATAGAAGAAAATGAAGGAGCAAAAGAAGAAGAGAGAGAAGAAGATATATCCCACAATCTCATGCCACATCTATACATCAACTTTTACTATAACTTCACAATAATACTGAGCTTGTTTACATGTGTAATGTGCTCTCCCCGGAATAAAATGATTTCCTTTTAAACCTCAAAACATCAATATTAAAGTCATATTAACACCAATCGGAGGAAACTTTAGTTTAAATATCACTTTGCTTTTTTGAATGACATTTCTTTTAAAAATATCATATCAGTCTTTTCTTTTTCTGCATAGAATGTGTTATTGAGAGGTAAAATGTCACAGTGATGTATTCAAATGCAAATGACATTTCACACACTAAATGTACCTCAGAAAGCTGCAACAAATGGAATTCTATTTCATGGTACCTCATCGCATAAATGAAGAATAAGAACATGATTTTATCCGTGCTAAGCACTAAGGAACAAAGAAAATATCAATTGATGCGATTTCACTTTCTTATCAGAGAAGTAAATGAGAGCAGAGTTCCTCTTTGAATCCAAAAGTCTTTATATCTTTGTAGCCAAGTCATGTCGATACGACCAGCATACAATTATATCTCTCTGATTTATGGAGCAGTAAGATATATTGTAATAATTCTGCACCATAGTGAAATGGAAAGCTGATTGATTTATCGGCGTGTTTATAATACGTAACTGGGAGATGATTAGAAAACAATTTCACCCCCCAGACCCATTTATATTGAGATGCTTCGGGCAAGTGGCAATGTCATCAGTTTCTACCACTCAATTGCTCAATTCTTAGTGGAGGGGGAGGAGGGTAGCTTTCAAAATTTGTTACCATGGAACATGAAATAATACTTGTGATTCAGATTTGATTAATTCTCGCTACCCTAAATAGGTACGAAAATCTCGAAATTCGCGAGACGAGGTAATTTTCACTCTCTCGGGTCGTCACTACAACTTCCGGTATAGAGTCCCATCCCGCTGGCGCTAGCGCCTGTGTTCGCTGTGCAGAGTTTTCACGCACGCTAAAATCGATGCCAATCAGTGTAATTTGTACAGCTTATAATATGCAATGGAAAGCTTCGGGCAGAATTAGGGACTTTAGCACAAAAGGCCGTTAAACTCTACCGTGAAAGAGAGGGTTGTGATCACGGACGCCTGCACAGGAAGCTGTAATGTCGAAAAGCTATCCCATAATGCAATGCGCGTTTTCAGGATTTTCCCCGGATCTCGGCAGAATCGCTATTTGGGGTAGCGAGAATTGGGTGGCAATTTAAATTTTGAGAAGACCATAGTCCAGACAAAGCTTACACATGAGTAAACTCGGGAGTAAACATCCAAAGTTAACATTTCAATCTTGTTTATGACTTTTGATTTTCTCTTACAGACGAGGAAATGCATTCATGCTGATAAAGGCATGGTAAATGATGGTGTTGTAGTCGAGTCCAATATAATTCTTTGGCATGAACTACAACTATGCTACAACTGGCAGCAAGAGATTGCGATGCATTGACGATGCTCCAGAACTGACGAATGCTCGTTTTCAACTTCCCTATTCAGATGCAGCAATGCCACCAAGCTGGACACTGGACAATAACTGATCAAAGAAGGTGGAGTTGTTGGTGGGTACGACCTATCCCTATGCACAAGACAAACTGCAGTGAAAGCAAGGAAATATTGCAGCCAATAATTATGCTTGATCAACACTGTTCCAGAACTAGGTTCATTTCATCGTTTGTTTTCATACTCTTTCAAAGATGCTGTGATTGCATCCAATAATTACGATCCATCAACACTGTTCCAGAACTACGTTCATTTCATTGTTTATTTTCATGCTCCTTCAAAGATGCTGTGATGCACCCATGCTCGAGGTGGGCGAACTTCTGGTCGATGACGGCGTCATGGGGCTCTGTTGAGAGACCGACCTTGATGGACAGTGTACGATGCTGCTGGTGGAGGTGTTAGGGTTGGCAAGACGGAGGGTTGGGGCGTGGCCGGGCCCCGGTGAGTTGTCATCGTCGAGGTCCGATGAGCAGGACTCACCGCTCTGTGTGTTCTGTGCTGGACACTCAAAGTGTACACAGTGGAATACCTGTATACAGAAAAAACAAGGCAATTACAGTAACATGAGTTAATATGATAAAGTGAGCTTTGGAGGCAGCCTTCAGATTATAAATGATCTTATTTTGAGCTACTATCCATTCAAAGAAAACAAAGGAAGATATTAAAAACCCACTCAGGTGATCATCTCTACAAATTTGTCATCCATTCATCACGAGTCCTCCCTTGTCTTATGACTGAAGTTGTAATAGATCATTAATTTAATGTGTTGTAAACAAATTTGTAATCAAATTCAAATGGAATTTTTATCCCCATAATATAAAAGAAAAATGTTATACAGTCAAACCTGTCTATAGCGACCGCCCAAAGGAAACACAAAAAGTGGTCTTTATGGACAGGTGGTCCTTGTAGACAGGTGGTCACTGAGGCAGGTTTGACTGTACTACACAATTGACTAATAGAACACCTTGACTACACATTCCCATCATCACATTTACAATGTTGTGATTATACTGACTGTGAGATGAATTATAACGAGAAAGAAAGGAGACCCCAAGATCTCCCCCACACCTAAGGAAAGTAAATAGATGGTTTGGAACGTTTTAATCTGAATCATGTTTCTTGAGGTTCATTTTCCAAGTACTAGGAAGTGGCATTTTCCAAGTTCTAAGACGTGTCAATGGACTAGAATTAGAAGTTGAGGAAAATAAAACTAAGACAACAGATGTGAATACTACTAAGTGGATGAAGATAATTAATGATTTACAGGAACTGCATCTACAATCTGCTTTCAAGTAAATACAATCACATGTCATGTGATCTCATTTATATATGTGATGAAATGCTTGTTATAAATATTTATGTATGATGTTATCCATGATTTTGTATCTGAATAAAGATGTATAGAAATAAAATAAAAGAAGTGTCAACGTCTTCACCTCATTGGCTGTGTTCCTGGTTCCTACTATCCTGATGAAGGTGACAGGTTTACGCTGGAAGTACAACGTCTGCCAAGATCTGGAGGGAAACAAGTCAACATTGTTTACCAAATGTTCGCTTACTCCGACCATTTACACAAAAAAATATCTATACAACCATCATTTACACTCCTGAATAATAAATATACGCATAAACAAATTTTAAATCTGTGCATTATAAAACAATTTTGTTGTCGTTATAAGGAAGATGCTGATCACAAATTACCTTCTGAAGCAAATCCTAATAAGTGAAAAGTGCTTAATGAATCCATTTTAATTTCACGAAGGATGGCATACATCGCATTCAGTGTGAATATTACTGCATAACAACAATTATTGCTGGAACAAGATTACACACGAATATGAAAGCAAAAAGGCTAGCATCCCCCGTAGAGATTGCACGATTGAAGTGAATTTATTGGAGGTTTGATGGTGAGGGGAAAGGAAAGTGTACCTGCAATTCTCCTTGGTCTTATCCGCTACTCTTATCCAGGTCTGCTGGTCAGTAGATACATCTACAAAGTAGCTGTATGTCCTTGCATCACAGTCCCATAACAGCAACCTGCAGAAATTGAAAATATGTTAAAATTTTAAGATACCCTACAATATTTACAATGGCCTAATTAAAAGTCTCCCGCTCAGGTGTACTCAGGTGTACTGCCTATGGCAGGTCCACACACCAGAGCTGGTATTCAATTCAATACTTAGAATAAGTAAGAAATTTACTAACTAAATTGCTGAGCTAAGAACTTCACTTATCTCGTATTCAAATCATATTTTAGACTTTTACTTACGTAAGACAAAGTCTAAATAAAAGACTTACTGATAAGCATTGTGACATCACACAGTCAATCAAAAGTAATGCGCACTTATATAAGTGTGCACAGGTTATGATACTGCATAAGAAAACCACTACCAAGCTGATGACATGTGTACTCAACAGTCCCAGTCATAGTTTTTGGTGTCACCATTTAGAAGTAATTACAGGCAACACCACGAGGAGATATCCCAGTCTCACTTACCTAATACTGCCAATGACGTAGGGTTGAGCTAGTTGTACTACGATAGAACCACTGCCTAGCTGATGGCATGTGTACCCAGAGTCCCAGTCATAGTTCTTGGTGTCACCGTTCAGCAGAGCATTCCTACTGCGGCTAACACCTTCTATCACACTTGCACTGGCCTTGATGGTGGCTACATTCTGCTGCGGAACTGCACAAGAAAGATAAAAACAAGAAACAAATTATTGTCATTGTAAAAATAATAGAGTGAGGTGCGAAGGCTCAGTAGTAGAACATCGTTGATATACATGTATCAAGTGCTATATAAAAGCGGAATAATATTATTATTATTAGTGAAGCTAAAGGGATTGGGTATCTTTGTTTCAGATTCTAAACACAATCCTGGATTTAGCTCATGCTGCAGTCATAATTATAAACCTTTAGGTCAGTCAAGAATCCCATGACTTTTACAAGCTTATTGCCTGTCTGATTATCAAGATATTTATGATTGGATTTTGAAATTTTAAAAAAGGTTTTCCCAATGGTTTTTATAACACTTAAGTCTATCGGGAAAAATGAGTATGGTAAAATCGGTCACTCAAAGACTTTTACTTATACCAGGCACTTTATATTTTGAAGCGCAATTTGTTTTTAATGCTTATATTAAGCCATATTACAGACACTGATAACACGTAGGGCCATGTATCTCTGATTTGTAAAACTTGAAACTGTTAAACAATGCCTTTAAAGGTAAAGAAACGGTGAAAAAAGGAATCATAATACATCAACGATATCTCTAAGCAATTTACAGACAAATCATTATCTCTTTCATTATTATACTTATTATATATTCAACTATGAGCTACAATTTTTGTTGTTCACAAATCAAATATAGAGCTTAAAGAAATATGCCGGTACCTATCAATCCTGTTTCCAGTTGAAATACCCTAGTTGTGTGAAAGGCTTCAAATGACACTAGATGAAATACTTTGTTGACGGTGTTATGAACCCCAATGATTCGGATGTATCTAGATGGGGAGGAAAGAGAAAAACATTTATGAGAAAACTACAAGATCTTGAAGAGCAATGTTTCTTGTATCATATTGAAATTTCATGTACTTGCATATGAGAATAAATTGAACAGAAATCTCACTAATATCTTGGTTTATACCTTAAGAGAAGTTCTCAACATCGCTTATTGTAACAATGTATCATTTTTGCAGGGCTAAGAGAAAATTCAATATAGTTACACTAGAATTCTTCTTAGAATATAGGATACGAAAATCTACTGTTAGGAACATCATTGAACTATAACAGATTGAGCAATATGCAATTCAAATTATTAAACAGGAACAAATTGGGTTTCCACTTTCTTGATCAAAATTTACAGAAACCATTCTGGTCAAAGAATACTGCTTATTCATACTAAATTACATCACCAAAGAACATTTTTGCAAAAGGATACTAACATATTTGGTGACAAACAGAGCATTAAAGTCTTCTTCATTGGTAATGCTGCGGTAATGATTGTGGAGCTCCAGGATGAGTGTCAAGTTTGACAGACAAGAGTGCTATACAAGAACACAGTATTGGTATTACTATAATGGTGTACAATTTAACTTTAATACATATTTGAGGTAGCTGTTATGTAGTGGCACGAAAACATGTATCTGGAACGGAAACTGCATAATTGTTGAAAATCATGATTTCATCACACAGGTGTAGAACCCCATTATTAAGATATAGAGCGTTTCAATGCATATACCATCTCGATGAGACTTAATCTTAGCTAAACTTTGATTCAGATATGTCAAAAAGAGCTTTTAATTATCAAACAATTTAAACTAATATGCATTTTGCGTTCCAGACCCGTCTTTTCCTGCCACTTCATTTCTCAAAGCTACCTTAGAAAGGATCTTTGCCTAGGAAAAATTACTCACCTACAGACTCTGGCTGGAAAGTGGAGAGTCTGCCACGACCGGCATTGATACGTAGAATGATCAATGACCTTTATCCAGTCATTCTCATCAACTGATGCTTCAATGAAGTAAGAGTACGACCTGGAAGAAAAAAAATACAATCAATACGATGTTCATTATCACTGCATCCAAATCAGCAGATCAATTTACATGGTCAGTCATTGGAAATTATACAACTCACATCTAGACCCTAATCAAATGATGGTCAAATGCACTAACATGTGATTCGTTTACTGAGGCTATTCAACATTTTATGTACCTCATACACAGATTGTCATTCACTGATTGGTCAAAACTATATCACATGACAAGGAGCATCTCGATCCATTGCGTCGTTCTATCAAATCCTGTGATAGTACTCCTAACCCCTCTGCGACTTTTGCAAACACACAGAGCGCACATACAAGATTTCAAATGCCCTCCAGCACGCAACTCACACGGTGTCACAGCGCTCAAGCCATGCAATTTACGCTGAACCGCAGTAACTGTAGTACCTGTACAGTATAGATTGGATTTCCGTATGTTGGTTTTCTTTTAGCGTTGGATATTTGAAACTGTTTTGAACTTCAAAGGACTTCAATATATTACTGTGAGGAGCATATAGACTCTTGATATTGGATCTATTTTCTAGACCTATTCATGAATCAATGAAAAGGATGAGGTATTTAAAACAAATATGTACTGCTCTGTAATCGGATGGTGGAGGAAATTATCACTCCCTTGGTGGTGTTTATACTGGCCCTTCTATCTGTCATAGAATCAACAGTTATTGAGTAAAACCACAAAATGTGGAATGAGGGTCGCACAAATGGAATACTGAAGTACAGAACAAAATTTTTCCTCATTTTCTTCCTTGTTCTACAACACAAACCTGGGACCCATTTCAACCTTTTTTCAATGATAAATGACAAAAATCAGTGACATATCTGCTGATAGCCTATCAGAAGCCAGGATTTCAGTAGCTTATAACAAAACCTGTCATTTGTCACTGATGACACGCCCACCTGGTATCTCTATCCCAGAGCAGCAGCCTGATGGTGTTGATGATGGTGGGCTTGCCGAGGGTGATGACGATGCCGCCGGTGTGCACGTCCTCGATTGGGTGAGTGGTGAAGCCGCGGTCAAGGTCGTAGTTCTGACAGTCACCGTCCAGCAGAGATGACCTCATCCCTCCCTTGACCACCGAGGCACCGTGCTTAGCCGTCCCAACATTCTCCTCTGGAACTATACAAGCAAAGAAAAATATTTTTGATGAAGACGTATGAACAGAGGAAGCATATAATAAATGGACTCAGGAGGTGAAACTATGCATACACCAATAAATACCCAACCTTAACATTATCAATTTGTTTAAATGATTGGCTGGAGGAATAAGCCAACTCTACAGCCTTTAAGCCTGACACTATGCGACTGCCTAGGGAGCTTTTGATTTGCATGACCAACTCGATCTATGACTTGAAATTTACTAACCATGTCATATCTTCAAACAAGTTCCCGTCTTACAAAAAAACTGTTTTGATGTCACAATTCAGTGGCACTGGCCTGTTTGTATGACCATTGTGAGATCAGTATGGAGCAAAAGTTATTGTTTTTAGCACAACGCAGATTTAAACCGAATTTGGTCCTAGGATCGAGCCAAAGACACAATCCTCAACTGCGCAAACGCAAAAGGTCTCGATGTTAGTTGCACATCGTAGATCTTGTTGGTCGTGCAAATCGAAAGCCGTCAATGGACACCACCCCCAAAAACCCGAACAAAGTTAAACTCACTGAGTACTCCTCTGTAGTTGAGGTCTGCGTTCCGACACTCTTCCTTGATCTTGAATGCATCCAGGATGGAGTCTGCGCACAGCAGGTTGGAGGGTCGTACCGTGTAAAGCAGATCCTGCAGAGTCATGTAGGGACAAGAGTGAGAGAGTGAGAGAGATATAGAGATAGAGAGAGATCGAGAGAGATAGAGAGAGATAGGGAGAGAGAGAGAGAGAGAGAGAGAGAGAGAGAGAGAGAAAGAAAGAGAGAGTGAAGACACAGAGAGAGAGAGAAAGACAGAGAAGGACAGAGAGAAAAAAAGACAGAGAAAGAGAGTGAGAGAGATAGAAGAGATAGAGAGAGAGGGAAAGAGAAAAAGAGAGAGGGGGAGAGAAAAAGAGAGAGGGGGAGAGTAAGATAACGAAAAACAAAAAGACAAAGGGATGAGAGTGAAGAATGGACAATATCCCTTGTTTGAAAGCTTTGCTAAAATAAGACTAGTGCAATTTGTCAATCAAACTCCTTAAAGCCTCACTGCACTACTTATAGCTACTTGAACCCTCTACACAGCCAACAATGCCTAAGCATTACCTGTTGATCCCCCATGATGCTCTTTTTCTTATGTTAATTGAGAGCTGATTTGATGAGATAACCACCTGCCAGTGACCTTGCAGGAAGGTACAATCCCTCTATGCCAAACTAGTGCAGAGGAGCTTTAAGATGCAGCTCTCTCCGAACTCTGAGTCATTAATGGAAACACCATCATGGCAATATGTCTTTTTGACATAGTCATCAGTGAGAGAATAAACCGTTGAAAACGCAAATTTATGATACACACTCCAACTGGTAAAACAAAACTCCTATGGGTGTTCTAAGTTTCACAAAAAGCTCTCCTTAATATTATATTTATAATAATTATGTTGGTATATCTGAGAATGATGATGATTGTTTAACCCGACTCGCTAAGAAAGCATTGTATATGCTTGTCTCACCTTTGAGTATGTTCATGTTTCTAGGTTTCTTATGCACCTTAAACACAGATATCATGTGTAGTTGGCGAATTATGAATACTCAATATCATTATCATCAGTGTGTGCAGCCAAGGACTGAATCCGATGACCAGGGTAATAGTATATCCGTAAAGTGCTTAGAGACGTGGTATAAGCGCTATTTAAGCGGAATATTATTATTATTAATATTATTATTATCATTATAAGAATCACAACACAAATTTTGATAACAGTTTCAGTTTTATTCCCTACACTGTTGCAAGTTTCAAAAGTACCGTCTACTCTTTAGCGGTATAGTTTCACAAGTACCTGTCTACTCATTAGAGGAAGTCTGATGGCCTCCACAATCTCCTTGAGAGATACGTCTTTGTTGGCGTGCACCCAGCTCTGAACCGCTTGGAAGATGTCAATCTCAGCAGCATAGAAGGAATTCCTTGAGATCACTTCCTTCAGGGCACCCTGCACCAGGAATGTGTGAAAATTTGAAAGTGAGGAGAGACTGTTAATGTGGTGAGATCAAATTGTGAAGTTGGTCAAAGATTGTAGACTTACAACGAAATACAATTCATGACAAATAATCTATATGAAAGAGAGGTTTGATCTCTTCTTTCAGTATCAGTCTGTACAGTTGTCTACTACTCTGTTTATTCTGTTTTATTATTTATAAACCGATATTAAGGAAATCTAAAGAAGAAACTTGGGATTGTTGCTGACACAATCAAAGAACAGACGAAAATGAACGAAAAAATTGAGAGAATTTCAGCAAAGAGCAATCATGACATGAAATCTGATATAAAGACAAAAGTGTTTGCTTTTATGAATGAAAATTCAAGCAGCTATTGACAACAATCAGCACCTTCCGTAAGGTGATATACAAAATCTTCTATCAATTAGAAGCATATTCAGTCAACAGTTTCCTGGGGAGTGTTTCACAAAGACTAAGATCAACTTTACGTTGGACGTAACTTTGGCAGGGCTTTCATGCCACTGGTTGCTCTCACCAATATGATCTATAGATAATAGTTTTTCCTTCAATAATGAATTATCAAAAAATGTAAATGCTGTAGATTTGTGACCATGATTTGTACGTCCCTTGAGAGATGAATGCCAGTAAATGGTGAGAGCAAATAGTGGCATGAATGGCCTGCCATAGTTAAGTCCAACTTAAAGTTGATCTTAGTCTTTGTGAAACACCCCCCTGGTGTAGGAAGTTCCTTCCATGTGGCTCACCTTGGACAGGGTGAGGAAGGTCTCACTGTTCATGACCTCTGTGGCGTAGCGATCCATGAACTGGTAGCACGTCTCCTTGAGGGCCCCCAGGGTGTAGAGACTGGCCACGTCGTAGATCAGGCACACGTTGTGGATGCTGAGGATGGCGCGCAGGTAATCGGAGATGGAGGCTTCCAGCTCGCTGAAGCCATACTGGTGGGCCAGGCCAAGGATGTCAAGAAGGTTGTCCTCCTGGGTAGGGAGAGGCAAATTGGTGTGATCATTTAGCATTTTTACATTCTGGCCATTACACAATCAACGAAAAGCTACAAGGGCAAAAGCATAAGCTCGCTAAAGCCATACTAATTGGCCAGTCCTATGATGTCTGGAAGGTTGGCACCCTGGATAGAGAGAGGCAAATCTTCAAAGTGCTGTAATCATTTAGCATTTGTACATTCTGTATGTCTGCTACTAGAGCAAAATCAAAAGTATGATGGGAAGCCAGTGCTAAGAATCTGTTGCTAAGGTTGCTTTTTCCAGCTCACCGAAGCCATACTAATACGCCAGTCCTATGATGCCTGGAAGGTTGTCCTCCTGGATAGAGAGAGGCAAATCTTCAAAGTGGTGTAATCATTTAGCATGTGTACATTTTAATCAATTATACTGTTAAACTGCAACAATTATGAATGTAAAAATCCAGAACTGGAAACATAGTGCTAGATAATCAAATGGAGGCTTTTGACTTGCTGAAGTCTTAATGGTTGACCAGCCCTTTGGCGTAAACAAAAAGGATGTCCTTTTGAGTAGGAGGGGTAATTTGCCCCATCTTGTTGATGCCACACAAGAGGGTGTGGTACAGATGGGGTAGGGTTTTGGTAACAACAGCTTTGGTGTAGATACTGTATGCTGCTGTTCTAAACTCAACTTTCTAAAAATACATACTTGCCACTTGAAGTTCATGATAAAATATCAAAGGCATTAGAATAAACATCACTTTGAAATGCCTATTCATCTGCAAAAGGGGCAATTCAAAATAGTATTATGAAGTATTTTGTAACATTTCAGTAACGTGTTTTGTCTAATATACATATTTTACTGATTTACTTATTTAAAGACCAATTATCACAGATATAGCAACCTTCAGTGTAGCTTATGCTGATTAGAATTAGAAGAAATATAATATTAGACTTGTTTCTAGTGCACATATCTGCCAATATGATCCCAAGGCGTACACAAATCAAGAAATTATAAAGTATTACAAAATTATAATATTATTTCACTATTTGGTAATGTATGGGCCATAAAATGACCCAATGACTAATAGACTTGCCCCATTAGACTGTAGATGTGTTTTACAGATTCAAGCATGCCTTGTTGCTATATACAACTCTAGTGTCAAGGGAACCTAAACATACATGTTACTAATTTCCTGCAATTCACTAGACTGGAAAGTAACCTTTCCAATATTAACAACTTCATATACATGTACGAAGTAGTAGATTCTTACATTTGTGTACATGCATATATGAGTATTGTGTGATTAGGGAGAAACTAACAAACTGCCAGCAGAATGTTGTAGAAATATCGACACCCAATCTTGTTAGGGTTCTGGGAGCCATTCCTTACAAGATTAAATCACATTATAAGATATCCGATATCACCCTGGTATTGCAGGAAGGCAAACGTCTGGGATTCAAACAGGAAGTCGCTGGGAAGACGTGATGGGTGAGAGGAGTTTCCTTCCCTCTCCTTCAAAAGAATTAGGACTTTCAGGTTTCATGTAAGACTGGAATGAAAAGGAAGACTCCCTAAATCCTCCCGTACAAGGCATAGGAAGGATTCTACAATTCAAGTCCGTGCAGATTCACCAATAACGGCATTTCACAAATGTAAATGTTTTAAATAATTCATTTACTCACTTTAAAAAAAAAAAATTATTAAATTATTTTTTTTATTTTTTTTTATTTATTTATTTACACATAATATATATATCTTTTTGGAGGTAGTTGTTTTTTGTTGGGGGGGGGGGGGGAGGATGACAAGTGATCTTTGAATATGAAGTATTCTCAGTGGGGGGGGGGGGAGAGGGAGAAGATGACATGTGAGCTTTGAAGTATTTGGGGAGGGGGGATGACATACAATTTTTGAAGTATGATACAATGTGATCTTTGAAGAAGCACTTCTTCCAGGATTAAGACCCTAGATGTCACCCTGGATATTGTCTGACTGTAAAACCGGTAATAAGTGTAATTAGTCTCAAGGCAAAATAAATATGCTCAAGCAATTCCCCCTTCTTCCTTTAAAGATAGCAGTCAGCAGCTATTTAATGATTTTTTTTTTGCATTCATGGTTTATCCATACCTTCACATCTAAAATCATCACTATTGTTATCCTTGCATGTCTAAGGATTGAGAACAAGATATAACAATTACATGTACATGTTTCTTTTTTTCATTTAGTCTGGAATAAAGACCAGTATTTGTTGCAAATATTAAATACTGAATATAAATTGAACTATAAATTGAAGAGCAAATTTAATTAAATTCAAGTCAGTCAACGCCATCAGTGCCCATCACTCTTCCTCATTCAAAAGAGGACTTCCATTTGAAACTAGGATGGGAATTGTCAAATATCTCCTCGATGTTGAGCTATATATGTACAGTGTATGTTTTGTACATGTGCATTTGATAGAAAAATTGTTGAGAGGGTATAATAATGATACCTGATTCGGGTATTCAGAGGATAATTCTGAGGTCATGTTTCTCCTATTTTTTACAAGCTTGTTGCTACTTATATAGAAAGTTCTTAAAAACCAATTCTGCTTGAATAAATCAATATAAAATAGTCAATAAATGTATCCACTGCCTACAAAGTAGCAAGATTTAACCATTTGATTACAAAACCAGAGATAACTTGGACTGAGCACTAAGGAAATATGTTTCAAATAAAAATAAAATCAGATGAAATGGGTTAAAAGCATTCATCATCTTGCAATTCCAAATTATTTTAGTAAGTGAAGTATTTTTCTATAAATTCAGGAATGTAGTTTTATTTTACTGCATCACTTGAAAACCATCAAGTACCGATCGATACACAAAAGATATATGGCTTAACAATAACACACCCTGACGGCTTGGCATAGGACCAGCTGGCCTTCTCCAAGTGTAGCATTCAAGGGGCATGCTGCATCCAAAAATAGCACTATACCATCTCGGTCAGTTTCTCTTTATGGGGTTCCATATTGCAGTATATGCAATGTACTGAAGTGATCATATACATATTTCCCTGCAATAACTATACAGTATCTCCACTTCAAAAATACTGTAGTATCGATGCAGAAGAAAGTGTCATACGGTGAACAAATTTCTTGTCAATTTCAATGTGAATGTGTGCATTGATGTGTACAGTGCTACATACATTGTAGTATTTATGATGTCAAGAATTTTTTTTCCCTTCATTTTACTGAGGATAAATTATCTGGGAATTAAAATCTTTCAAGGAACCATTCTTTCTACCAGTCTACACAGTTTTTTCATGAGATCGTGTCCACATACAGTATGAATGTAGATATTACAAGATCAAAAATGGTTATTCCTACAGCAAGTGTACAATAAAGTCATGAGCAAAAATCCTATTGCTTTTGTAACCTTTACCCAAGTTTGTTTATAAATATGATAATGGCAAGATAAATTATTAGGAGAGTTGAAAAAACAAAAGAATAGTGTAGATTCCGTTGAGTAGAAATCAATTCAATCCAAAAATGTGTTTTCTTTTTACCAACATGGGAATTCATCACCGCCACATATGGTGTTTTCACAGGAGCTCAACTGAAGTGTACTTCACTGAAGTGCTTCACACGCTTGCACATACCCCTGCACGTGGGCCTACACGAAAGCATGCGTGGTAATTACGTGCTGTAGTCTAGTGATTAAGTCACCAGACTATGATTATACTGGTCCAGATTAAAACCCTAGCCATGTCACTTGATGTCCTCGCGGAAGACCCCATTAATCCAAATTAACCACAAATAACGTAGGACAGCAATGCATATAGGAACCTACTGCATGTAGTAGATCAAGAGAAAGGCTATGCTGTGGATTCCTTAATGAATGAAATGTCAGTGACCAGCATGCGTGTATCATGCTAGACTGCTAGTGCATGTAATAATAACGATAGTGGGTTCTTGTACAGCGCTCATGTCTGTCAGACTTGACACTCCTGGCGCTCCTGGTTGTATAGTTGAGAGAAAGATTCTCAGGAGGTTGGAAATGGCACACCTAAAGTGCAGCTTGCTGCGAGATGATCCTATGAACAGGGTAATAATAACGTCTCTTGATGCAATAGCCAGATGGGTTTCAAATGTGTAAAGGTATGCTTTTGTAGCTCTCAGCAGATTAGATCGAGATCTGCTTCATAGTTATTTTTTAAAAATATTCTCCACAATCTACTTTGCACATGGCCAATTGAAACTCAATCACACCTCACAATATCTTTCATCCCAAAGAGGGGCGTGATCGGGGCTCTTTAAAAATATAAAACAAAAGGCCCAAAGACAAGAGGGGCATTTTCACGAGCTCCAAGGACAATATCATCTACAGTACCCATGAAATTTTGGGGAAAAGTCACAAGCTTGGTAATTTTGTACGTCAACAGGCAATAAACATGTCACTCAACAACAACAACAGCTTAATTTATATTGAAGTAATTAATTTGCAAAGAAGATATGCTGTAAAAATTGTTCCTTTTTATAATGTTGTATCCAAAAATATTAATATGAAGTATTACCGTCACCTTTTCCTTTTTTACAGGAATTTTAGCACAATTTGTACACTTGATTGAATATGTACTATATTAGTTTGGATACTTATGGAAAATATTTTAAAAATATGTCTGTGTTTATAATGTATGAGACAATGTACTACATGTATGTTTATACTGTAAGAACAATTACGTCCTATTAATCATTTTGTATAATTATGAAAATCTGAATAAAGGCAAAAAAGCTTTAAAAAAACAAAAAACAACAACACCAAAATATTGTTTAAAATTTTTTGAAAAACACATGTTTTGTAAGCTGTACACTGTGAAGGGTTATTTGATATAACATGTGTGTAGTTATTACAGCAGGAAAAGCAAGAATTCACAATTCATCTCTGATGGAGCATACATTAGCATGAAGAAGGGAGGAGGGGGAGCAGCAAGTTTAAACACTTCATTTTGTCTTGGAAATACTGAATTTGCACATATAGTAAAGTACATATTTGAAAATGTCCATACATCTGTGCATTGGGTCGCCTGGCAACGGTAAACAAATCCAATCCAACTTCTTCCCTTCCTGCATGTTCAATGCAGTGATAATCTACAAACCAGACAATTATGATTATTGCAAGTCACCACATAAATGAAAATGAATCTACAAAATGCATAGATCTACTATTTCCTGCATGGCCCTCGTCCAAATGATCACAAGCTTTCCTGTTTGTTTTTTTTACCTTGAGGTCTAGTAGATTGAGACAGCCAGTGTAGATGTATTTGAGAAGAGCCTCAAAAGCTTGAGATGTGGTATCTTGCAGCTCGATTTCGCAGCACTCGGGATCAGACTCGCGTAAGCCACCATAGAATAGGGCTCTGTAGAGAGAGAGAGAGAGAGAGAGAGAGAGAGAGAGGAGAGAGAGAGAGAAGGAGAGAGAGAGGGGAAGGTTGAGAAGGAGAGAGAGAGGGGAAGGTTGAGAAGGAGAGAGACAATGGTAAATAAATGTTTTACAATAAATAATTGTCAGTTACATCATTAACCAAAAGAAATTGCAATATTTAATCAAAGTTCTTATATTCAAAGGTTTGTCCGGAAAAGTGGTCTTCATATTCTCTCTCTTCAGGTTTCCTCTGAACTATTTCAGGAATGTTGCTGGAGCTAAAGTCATGCACTCTCCTTCATGTGTATATATTTAGCCATTACAAAAAAATTATCCGCTTTTTTCTAAGCCTTTCTTCACCATCATAATAAAGTCATTTTCAATTTCAAGAAAGGAAAATGTAAGGACATTCCATTCAAAGAAAATAAATGGGAATTCTTGTTATCATTTTCATTACTACTACTTTTATTATCACTTAAGATCAGCACAATATTTCCAAGCACTGTACAAGTGTATGAAAAGTTGAAAACGTATATACAATGTACATGTATCATACATGATACAAGATTTAGATGTGACCTATATGTATTTATTCATTACCAAAGGGCAATGTGCACTTTGCATCCATTAGAATTTGTGCAACCTTTATATATGGAATAGGAGAGTGCTTCAGCCTCAAAAATTTGTCAAACATTAACTATACCTCATATAAAATGACCATTACCCTCGTCCTCCGATTGATACTTCACTGACAAGTCTTCATATCAGTTGAGTTTATAAATTTGCTTAATATCTACATACACGTATACTGTACATGTAGTATGGCAGTCAGAAATACACTGCACACAATAATATACACGTAATATTCTCCAAAAAAAGTCTCTATAAATAACTGAGGCCAAATTAAATTGATTCCTAGAGTCGGTTCCCCACCCACTTTTTCTTGATGTCTGTCTGACTTTTTCCTTTAATTACATTTAATATGTATTTTTAGAGTACCGTAATACAATATAATGATATAGTGCAATTTCAAATCATTTCAAGTTTCTTAGAGCCTCTGTAGTGAATAGATGAAGATTTTTTTTTCTTCATTATTAGCAAACTTATCATAATTGACCCCATTTCATTTGCATTTTAATAAGGGAAAAGATCAAATGTCAAATATAGAACCCTCCCTTTATTTACAAAAGCATCTGGATGAGAAACAGAGAACAATTTTGATTTGTCAAAGAGACACTATGCATACATGTACAAACTGTATGAACAAACAGAGCTCATGAGTGACTGACAGGCACAGGGTGTACATGTATACAGTGAGCATGCATACAAGATTTTTATAAAATTTCTAAATTTAGAATTACGTAATCTACATTGTAGGAAGGCAATAACCCAAAGATAGTAAATCAATATGATATAGGATAGAAAATGATGATTTTAGATTATAATTTGTACATACACTGTATACCGGGTTTATGCTATGCTGTAATGTCGGTAGAACATACATGTAGTGAATAAAAAATTTGCATCTGCAGAGAAACATGTACATGTAATAACATAAAGCAAGCAAGCCATCTCCCTGTGGCACTAAGATAATACATCAATTGACGTCATGGCTGATCTCATAGCACACATGCTCTTGACAGGCAATAAATCACACAGATCATGGGAGAAAACGTTGTATTTCATTCCTTCATGTCATCATCAGTAAGAAGGCATTTATGACCAAGTTAGGAGAAGAAGCAAATATGTGTTCTACATGTACATTTACTTCAAAATGATCTCATGGTTGAAAACTAAATGTAAACGGTAATGCATTTGATATGACATTTTTATTTCACCAATGTTCATGTATATAACAATTTTTAAAAATCTTTCATCATTTTTTACTGCCACCTACTTTAAAGTCTTACAAAATTCTTGAGTCAAACATAGGCCTAGAAACATGTATGAATATCTTGCTTTTTAACTTCAAGGAAACTCAAATCATCTCCCTCTCATCCGAGATTAACAACAGAAGAGATATCAATTACATGTACTCAACAACTCAAGTTCAATAAAACTCAACAATGGTATTGGATATCAAAATGAAATTCTGCCTGGTAATATTTCATGTCCATATATTAATATAATGTGAAAAATTAAGTATCGACTATGGACTATTGACACTTTTGACACTGTAATCTGGCAAGGCAGAACAGATACCGGTAGTACATGTCTCTTTATTGACAGTGAACATACAGTACATGTAGATTGTCATACAAAACTGAGCTTCAGAAACATTTACGGTACACTGATCAATGAAGGATAAATATAATCACATCATTAACTTCTGACTAAACTGTGGCAGTATTGATAATTATATCCAGATTATCGTGTAATTCAGATGGGTACCGTAGCTTTTCAGCATGTCATCTGATACCAACAGTGGTTACCACTCCATAGTGTGTGTATAATTTGTGTACACACAATTTGAGTCACTGAGTATCGTATGTATGAATTAATCATGTATGGTTCTCTTAATTATTTTATTTTTTACAAACAAACAAATTAACATAGAAAAAAACAAACTATGCAGTTCGTTATGCAAAAAAAAAAAAAAACCTCAATCATGTCCTCCACATACATACATGTACATGTACTTGTATACTATTATTACACATGTATTACTATTACATTGGCCTTTAACATTTCTTGTATAAAAAGGGATTTAAAGAATATTTCTACACAGGCAAATGTAGTTTCTATATACATGTAGCAGTACCAAATGTTGAATGGAATATATTTAACAAAAGCATTTACATTTCAAAATAGGCAATTCACAGACTAAGGCAAAAACTATTATATTTAAAAACAACTTTGTGATGAATTATCTCATCCATCTCTTCATTTTGAATTCAAATTTTGTTTGAATGTATTAATCAGTGAAAATGTAGCCTTATCAAACAGCAATAGCTCGATTTCATGCCTTCTAGAATATCCCTACTCTTGGAGAATAGAAGTTAAAATAGATAAAAGACAAGACAAGAATAAAACATGGACTTGATATTGCTTGACCTTATGACCCCTGTCTACAAAGGATATGACTCAATATCTGAGAATGATTTTTTTTTTAATGTACCTCACATGGTACAAAAAAATCATTTCCTTTATGAAACATCTGATCATTCCCCAAACATACTTAATGGGATTTGAAGAGTAGGCCCAGATCTATTTCCTGGAAACTTTAAGTTTACACTTTCGAAACGGAATCAAAATGATATTTATAATCCTTGCACATGACAAAACTATGACTTGAATCATTTAATTGTGAACTGTGACCATCGTAAAATATTTTTAAAACTTTGTATGACTTCATGAATCATTAATTGAAATATATTTCATTCTACAGTACACAAGATAAAAGCAATATTTTTTTTTTCAATAAAATAGCTAATGGAAGTGGAAGAACATGTATTCTCTTCCATTTTCTTTCAGCATCCAAAGTATCAAAAAAAATTAAATATCAACATTTAAAAGTGTGGACCATGATACATGAGAATGAAAACTAAATGAACATCACAAGAGTATCCAATAGAATACAATATTTGATATAAACTGCATATCCTCGGCTGCCCGCAAGAAGGTATGAGCGATGTACATCCATTGTAAATGACACATTAAAAGCCTTCAATTATGTATGATACTAGTCAATTTCTTCACAGGATAAAAGTGCTCAGCTTCTTAAAACTTACTCAAAGATAATCCACTTTACTAATACCATCTGCAAGAGCCCTACAGGCAAAAACTTGATATTGTCAAATTATAAGCAAATTACAGTATTTGCCGGCGATAAGGCCGCAGCGCCGTATAGGCCGCACCCCCGATTTTGACATTTAAAAAAAAAAAAAAAAAAAAAAAAATCTTTTGCCAAAGTCGGGATTCGATCTCTTGCGTACAAATGTTGATGTGACTAAAATCACCGCCTTAAACCATGCAGCCATCCCGCGCTGATACCATACTTTGCTGTTTTCTGTGATGTAGTCATTGAAATGGATTGAAAATGGTGACTTCACGTGCTGGATGCCTCGCGGCGGCTCCGTTAAATGGGCCCTTTTTTTACTTTTGCAATGCATTGGCATCAAAATCTATCGGCAGATGTTGTTTTTGGAAGTTTATTTTTGTCTTCATGTCAACAATGCAAGATAAAATTGTCGGTAAGATGTGTGGAAATGTATAGTTATTGTACCGTTCGTAGATCTAGTCCCATATGTACAAATTCGTGCTGGTTTTGACTTTTTTTTTTTTTTTTCTGTTTCGTCGTAAAGGCCGCACCCCGACTTTTTGATATTTTCTCTTCCAAAAATACTGCGGCCTTTACGCCGGCAAATATGGTAGCATTTTTGTGGCTCTCACTGCCTCTCAGGATATATACCATATTCCATTCCAAGCGATAGAGGGGGATAGGGGGATAGAGAGAGAGAGAGAAAGAGAGAGAGAGAGAGAGAGAGAGAGGGATAGAGAGAGAGAGAGAGAGAGACGGGAGCTAGAGAAAGTCAGAGAGAGAAGGGGGATATAGAGAAAGTGCTGTCAAACTATCCCATTCTCAATCAAAGAAAATCAACATAGCTTTCGAGATGATATTACAAATTGAATTGGCTGCTGATCCTGTAATAATCACCACCTTTGGTAAAGTATCTTCTTTCCTTGAAATTTATACTTGTTTCTCACCTGAAATACTGGCATCGTGCAGCTAGGATGACCCGATGTGCATGGAATTTCTGATTTTCTACAAGAAGGGTAACATCGCTGTATTCCTCATTTGAAAATAGGTGACCTACAAGAGGTGACATAAAGTAGGTATTATATTTTATTAACGGTAATGCTATTTTACACATAGTAATTGTTTTCGCTATTAACTATCAAAATTGAAATAAGAGAAAAGCAACTAAAAATGTCAAGTTTACCTACTTTTTAGGCTCCTACATACATGTACATGTAAAGAAGTTACAAGCTTACGTTGAATTAAAATTAATTTAACAAAGGGGGGGGGGGGATTAGGGACTAATTATTGTATGAAAACCAAAATGTAATCAGGCAACTTTTTGAGAGCTTTGCTGAGGAGAGTTTGATCAACCAGGTTTCATTTGGGCACAGTATTGGGAAGTGTGGCAAAAACAAATGAACATACAGTACGCTATGCTGTGACCAAATGAAACCAAGTTGGCCAAACTCTGTGTTTAGATGGCTCTGTACAACATCATCCAAAAACATTATGGGTAGAATGACACCCCAAAAATAAATGAATAATAAAAATAATAATAAATAAATAAATATCAAACAAAATAAAAATAATAATAATAATAATTTATTAAAAAAATTATCCAACAGAAATGTACCTCATAAATTATAACCAATGCAATCAATACATCTAGAATAATGGCAAGCATTTTTTTGTCTACCGACATCTCTCATGCATACAAATAGGAAAAGAAAGAAATATTTGAAAAGTTGGACACTTACCTATATCCTGTGAAAGAATATTGGTGTGCTCTACCTCCCCCATCGGGGTGGATGGACTGATGCGATGTGTGTCACTCATGGTTCCAAGAAGGGATCAGAAACCAGTCTGACAATCCTCTAGGTGCCTTGGAATTTGAAGGAGATTTCTCTTCTCATCACTGCAAAGACTGAACAACAAAACACTCTTACATGTACCATCAAACACTCTTTATTCCTCAAAAGTTGTGCTGGTTTTCACTCGCAAAGTGACTTTCAAAGTCTAGGCATGCAAGTATAACTTGAACATGCAAACACTAATTGTGTACATGGATTTACATGCACATGTACCATTGAACCGAATAATGCTGTTTGTATTTGTACACAAACACAAGAATATAAAGCCCGTTTTAGGAATTTAGTTTAATGCTGATAAAAGTACATACAGTGTATGTATGGCCGAGAGTCAAACTGAGAGTGAAACTCACACCATTAAGTTGCAAAATCAAGATATGCACTACATCAGAGCATAAAACCGATATCTTTTTTTTTTACATTTGCTGCAAACAACAGCTGCAAATGGATTACTTTGGCTCAAAATAAATATATGACAAGATTCTTCATGAAATATTTCCCCTTTTGAACGTCTACTTTAAATATTCAAAAACAAAACAATAGGTTCCTGACCTCAGAGAGGCTAAACTTGGCTGGATAAGATACGCCCTTGTTTGTGTTGATTCTTTTGTTTTTTAAGCTACATATGTAAATCTCTAACGTGGGAGACAGTCTTGCAAACGTTGAAATGGAAGAGAGTCTCCCTAATCAGCTGTGTGCCGCTACTGTTTGTAAACTAAAAGTGAAAGGACAGTGTCATCATCACAAGTCAGGCATATCATTTGGCATTACAACAGACCAGCCCCAGCACATAAAAACATACATGTACACACAGGTTCAGAATTTTCACTCACTCAAGAGAGCTTCGCCGTATTGCTCCCTAATTGCATGAAAAATTGTATTTTTGAGATACGAAAGAAAATAACATTATTTGAATTGACCTTTCCTCAACATTTCTTTTCTCTTGAATCAATATCTCTCAAGGCTAAAAATTGATTGATTAGATTTAGATCATCTTTCATGCCATGGTTTTTACCACCGGCTAACATATGCAGTTGCACAATCTGACAAAATGTACCATTAGTCTACGCTAGCTTAGACTTCCTCTATCAAGAATATCTGTCAACTGATGTCTGTGTTGACAACTTGACATCACTCAGTCACAATCACATCTTCAATTTCAAAGTTCAACAAACTGCAAGAAATTGAAAACTGGTCATGGCAAGGCAATGAAATGTGGTTCAATACTATTTAACATGAGTATCATTAAATGGTCGAAATCCAAAACAATTATTATGAATTTATCAATCTAATTACTCCGATCCAGATCCAGCATCCCCAGGGCGGCGGTTCCCTCTTCCGCCACTCGGCTGGGCAAGGGAAGGCGAGTGAATGGCAATGGCCTATGCTGGAGGAGAAATTCGGTCTACAAGAGTGATAAAATACGTCTCTAGAATGGCATAGGAAAACACGATGACTAGAACTCACTCTGATGTCCAGAGCACTAAAGTCTGGTCAATGATATTATGCTTACCAATGACTAAAAAGAAAGCCAGGTCCTATGTTTTGAGAGGGCATACGGCGAAGAAAAAAAATCGTTGTTGACAAATCCAGAAGTTAAACTATATACATGCATAGGTTAACTACGGTCGGTTTACTCATTCTTACCTCATTCACTTAGTGTATTATTGTAGTTATTCATTCGCGCAAGTAATAATAAAGTAATTAAGTTATTTTTTGTTTTAATTGTTTTAGAAAGAAAAATGTTTTCAAAAACATGTAATCGAATACTTTTCTCATAAATGCTTTCAATCAAGGTCAAAACTGAAATAATTTGAGAGGGAAAATGACAATTCTTTACAGAATTATATCAATCCTCAGTGATTCGGCTCTTCACTGAAAGCCTACATTCCGCTACCTTGCGGCGTGTCTGGGTAAATCTTTGAAAAAGGGGAAATCCCTGCCGACAGATCGAGACTACCCTTGGCCTTGGGGTGGATCCGTAGGGAGAGGGTTCTTGGGGGAGGGATGTCCCAATAAAAACCAGCATTTCATTTAAAAAAAGGGAAAATAAGAACGAATGCCAGATAAGTTGGATCTATTATAGAAATTTGTTAAGTTAATTTTGATATTTTATGTTTCTTGTTTCAAAAATTCTTTTTGTTTCAATCATTGGTGCCAATTCGTTACACGAGCTCTTCTGACCATATTCTTTAGGTCTTTATATTCTCTTCCCTGATTATAAATGTTCAGTGAAGAGGTATGAGTTGGGGGACAGGGGGCTACAAAGCCACAATCATTTGTAAATCAGATCGAAAGCAGATCGATCGAAAGCAGAAAGATGGTCTTTTCTTCATTCACAGTCACACATCTCAATAATCTAGTATATCGTCACTGTACTAAAGGCACAATGCCACAATTTTTTGCTTGCTCACAAAATTTGGTTACTGGAATATTGATATTTGAGCAATAGATGTCAGCCCCACTGGTGAAATATGCCAATTGAATTAAGCATGGTAAAGCAATAATATCCGTTTATATTCAAGAATAAAGGGATGCAATAATTATCGTCAAGTTTATGGTATTGCAAGGTCTCAATTATAAATTGTAAAACAAAACTGAAAAGGACTTGTACAGAATTAGAAAGATTACAGCATATATAGAGGCACACAAAAGTTTATTTAGGTGAATTTTTTTCCATTAGTAATATACAGATACATTGTTGACATGAAAAATAAATGAAAAATTCAATATGAATTACAACAGGTAAGAATTTAGAAAGAGCAAAAATAAACAATTAAACAAAACACAAAAACCCAAATATAACATAAATTCCAAATAAAAATTTACAGCATAACTTCGGTTTCTACAAAATTCTTGTTCCAGAAAGTTGAAGGTAGAGATAAAGTATTTTAACACAGCATTAAAAAGCATGAAAAAATGAAAAATTTGTGTCTTTAATTATGGGGACAAACATAAAGATGAAATATGTCTTCCCCTAAAATATATCAGATACTGTTTTTGAAGTGTATACTCTCTTACAGGTAATGCTTAGAAAGTGAGAAGGGTTAGATAACATATTTAGTCATTTTCATAATGAATATATGTAAAGATCCAACACGCAAATCCCTGTATGGAATATAAATTTTATTTGACTTCACAGAAAATAAAAGTTGAAAATGAATTAGAAAAGCATTTCAAATAATTTCACCATACATTTAAATAATTTTACTAATACCAAAAGCAAATAATGTATTGAACAGACCATTTTCTGGGATAATATTAAGGAAAGTAAAAAGGGCTATATGTCACATATTTTGAACATATAAACCAAACAATGTTTTTAACCTACTTTTCATAAAGTGACATTTAACCAAGTAATTTAGTCCAAGATCTCCCTTAGTTAAAAATAGCTTAGATCTAGAGTTGGAATTTACAATAGAATAAGAGCATTGTAGTTTTTATTTATTAAACAACAGACCATGACTGAAGATTTCCTGTATTTTAACATGATGCATTCAACAGAAAAATAGGGTGATTTTGTTCAATGTGTCCAATACATTTCATCAATGAATGATAACATCTCTTGGTATTAATATGAATATTAGTCAAGATTCCATAAAGCACCATTAGTTAATGATCACATACAACAAAGAAATTCATTTTTAGGGTAAAATACGTGGAAAACAGACTTATGTAAGTCATATGGGACACATTGCAGAAAATCACCAAATAGAGAAAATTACTAAATATGTAATTGTGTACCGGAATACACCTGGTGAGCTCTTTATTTCAGAAATCTTTCACGTCTTCACTGGAAATTAAATTTCCCATTTGAACTATAAAAATAAATAATTATCCCTGAATGATAATCTTACCTAAAATCTAATACATTGCACACAACATGATACACAAGTTTTTCTAGATCACAATTTCAACTAACATGATCGTATTTACGTTATTAATGCACAATGATTTATTTTTAGCTGCGAAAACTAAAATTACATTTCGTTCAGGAAACACAGTCGATAAAATGAGAAATTAAATTCATTTAATTGTTTAAAGAGATATACACGGCCACTTTAGCTGGTTTAGGTATCGGTCAAGGCAACATTGACGGTGTGTTTGTGAAATGGGGCCTGTGTTTGCAGACTAACCAAAAACCTTATAATCTCCTCGATGCTAATATAATCTATTTTAAGGTAAAACAGGATGCAAAATATTTATGCACCTTTCCATTGTCTATATAGACAATGAGAACACAAGAGCACCATATCATCATTTACATCAGTTAGGTTTATGAAACAAGGTGTGTGAATTAGAAACTTTTATTCTGGTCAAATTTTCATAAATGTGATATCCCAAAATGTTATTTTATTTTATTAGATGACTGAAAAATCATTAACGATTCATACAATTAATTAATCTATGGTATACATCTATGCTAACAACTTAACACACACTATTGTGTAAAAATACAAAATACTATTTAATAAACATTAGATATCATATTCATAATATTATATTAGTACTGTGTTAGTTTCTTTCTCATTAAAACAAATATAAATCTCATATCATCCGTTGGGAGAATAAAAAGTTTTGTTTAAAATCTTGGCATCCACATTTTACCCAATATAAGTAGTCATACATGTAAACCTAGTACCAGTACTTCCACTCCACATATTTATAAGTTTTAAAAATAAAGCCACTGATTACAGACAAAGCAAGGCTGCCACCGCTAGTCACACTGTTTAACCCTTCACATGTCATGGGCAGAAAATCCTCTAAATAATTGAAGATTTGATACAATGTGTTTAGACTTTAATAGAAGGTTTATATTTTTCTCCCAAGGAACATGTTTTATGCCTTATCAAAGTATAAAACAAGGCATTTGAGGAGAACATTTAATTCTTTAGAGTTTATTTATTTATGTCAACTGTCCCAAATCATTGTGGCTCTAGCTTAATTTGAATCATCAGGTTATTGCGTCCGGTCGAGTGGTAGCGTTACACGACCTTACGTAAAACAAAAGTGGAAGATCATGTAAAGATGCACGTTAAGGACGCAACCTTTTCGTAGAATTGCCATAGGGTCTTCACAAAGTGTTGGGTGAATTAGACCACAGCATTTGTAGATGAGAGGGGTTTATTTCACAAACATTACCCCTGAAACTTTGTGAATACAGGGGCATGCTTTTAACATAAGGTCGGGTAACACGACCGCCCGACCGGACACAACAAACCTGATGAATCAAAGTGAGCCGTGGCTTATAAAGGGTTTTGTCTCCCTAGTGACGGCTGAGAAGTGTATCTATTCAATAAGAATACAAACAACTGAATACGTGACATGCATCAATATTAGGCAGTAATATATGCATGTATTGGACAGGACCCCAAATTATGAAGTAGCACTGTAAAACAAAACTGAATTTGTTATACTTTGGTAAACTTTCCCATTTTAAAAGAAATAATGAAACCTTAGATCATTCAATCTTATCGTATAAATACATCTCAATTTTTAATGTGATTTTTTTCCTCTTCATGAGAAGCACATACTATTCCTTCTCAATAAAAAACAAGGGAAACGCTCTCGGCGGTCTCGCCTGCATAACGCAATTCAATATGATAAACCAGAACGTCAATGACGTAGCGCTCATCCGCATCTCGCAACAACAAATATCGTAAATTTTATGTGGTACACTTTTGAACTGGTCAAAAAATAAAAATTTGATGCCCTGGAAGGGACATAATTTCATTTCATTTGCATAAAGTACCATAAATAATCAATAGAGCAAAATCTCACAATTCTGTGTAGAAGTTTAGTGTTCCAAATTTAGCTCTACCAGATAAGGCAAACCAAATCAAAATCGGTCGAGAAATGAAGGAGAAGAAGCCTTTTTTGTGATTTCGAATAAATTTGCATAAATTAGCATAATTAATTAATGGAAAACAATTTCAAAATTCTGTGTAGAAGTT